AACACTTCAAAGATGATAAAATATACCATTTGATTTATGTCTTGTTATATTTTGGTTTGGATGGATATAAAAAGAGCACAAAGACCTGCTAAAATCCCAAGTTTTTATGAAACTATTATAAATCATTCCGGAGGATTTCTGTGATTAGTTTGACATTAATCTTGTGCTAGTCATTGAAAATACTAAAAAAAATCTGTAATAGGTGAACAAGGAAAAATGCATCAGTATTCGCACTCATAAGAAAGTGTTTTTATTATTACTTTGTGCTTGTATAGTGCTTTATCAAGTCCAGAGGACCCCAAAGTGCTTCACACTACACTGACCCTTTCACAGACACACTCTGATGGTATAATCTACTAGAAAGTAGCCACAGCTGTCCTGGGTCAGTCTGACAGAGGAGAGGGTGCCATGCACCAGCACCACCAGCAGGCAAGGCAGGTGGAAGTGTCTCATCCAAGGACACAGCAACGGCGGCCGGTGGAGCAGGGATTGAATCAGCAACCTGCTGCTTGCAGGGTGAACCCCTACCACCGTCACCACCGTCGCCCTTTGTGAAGCACTTCTTCTTTATTCTGTCTTCTGTAGCGGGACTCTATTAGCAGGCGATGCTATGTATCATGTGGGTAGATTTCTAAAGAGGGAGCACGATCACCAAATGCTCCCTCCTGCATTTGGTGCTGGAGGGAGCACCAAGTGCTCCTGTCAATGAGGAATTTGAGCTTTTTTGTGTGGATTAGATCCCTCCCTCTTGCTGCTGAGAATATGGAGACTATGTGCATGTTGGAAAACTGCATCGTACTTTATCCCAGCTCTGAATCTCAGATGATTCCAAGCATTTTCCCTGCATTCATGTGCAAGAACCACCAGTTTGCATGAGACGTCTTGACTCCTATCGTGACAATGTGTCGCAATAAATGCCTGCTGTAACAAAAGTTCTCCAAATGTATCAGATTGAGGGGACATCTCTTGTCCATCTTACATTAATTTGGTTACAACTGTGTCCTGTGCTGTGATAGCCTCTAATTTTCTTGAGCACTTCAAAGTTATGGCTTCTAGCAAAACGTAGCTGCCGTCGTTTCTGCAGAGTTTTTCTTTGCAACGCTGTGAGAGACTTCAGCAATGGTTTTAGTCAGAATTGCAAACGCTACGTTAACATACACAGAGGAGAAAATTCTTAAAAGCATACATTTTTTTTGCTTAATCTTACTCAAAGAGTTTTACGTTGATCCATCAATAGCTAACTGACACAAACGGAAGTAAATTTCTTTATAACTTCAAAAGCCTGATCTGTGTGAAATTGTGTGCTTTAAGCCTTATCTTGTCTTTCAATGCAATTTTCTGCTGAATTATTCCTACAGTCAAAGCTTATATTTTCCTCTCAATCTTCGGCCTGCATTGTACTTGCAGCAATGTACTGTATCGATCCTTTTTCTGTAAAAATCTGGAGTATCTACAAATACATTCTGATCTTCAAATAAATTTTAAAACAACTTAATTTTGAAAAATTATTTAGAGTTATTTAAAAAAAAATAAACAAAGAACTTATAATCTCTAGGTATTTGTTCCTGGGGTTGCTGTGCAGTCTGGAATAGCATTTAAGTATTTTGGAGCAACAAGAAAAAAGAAACTGGGAGTTTGAAAAAATAATACTATTTCCAGATTTTATGCACTATCGCTTTATCTAAAGTCTATCCGTCCATTCATTCATTCATTCATTCATTCTTTCATTAATTCATTTCAGCATCTTTTTTTTTGTTTTTTTGTTGCAGATTTCTAACCACAGGCAACTGCAGAATGATCTGCCACAAATTCAGCATGAAGCTTTTTGCTCACACTTTTAAAATTGACTTAAAAAGCACTGAACTCTGAATTTAAGTCTGGAAAACAATAACATTTCGATATAGGTAATGTGCAGCAACCTTGTGTTCAAAATTTGTTGAACACTGAGCTGTAAATATCCTAAAGCGCTGTGAAAGGCTGATGGCTGTTGGTGGAGTGAATGCGTCGCCCGACATCTGCACAAACACACATTCAGTAACAGAACTCTTTGCTCCCCGGCCTCTGCGTCATCTCCCTACATCAATAAATACAGCAAAATAAAATTAGAAATATCTTCAACTATATGACCAGGCTCTAATATGATAGAATTAGTATCAGTGTTTAAAGGTTTGGCCATTTAGGTGAAATTCTAAGCCGGGTAGGGAGTAATTTGGACACAGGGAAAATTGATTTTGACCATCAGCACTTTCTCATTTTCAAACTGTGCCTGCGGCTAAATGGGTTAGCCTCTTAAGCACATTACACAGGTAGCCTCTGCTTTCCTCCCCAATGATTATGTGTCCGCCTTGAGCAATTGATATTTCTTGCAAATAAGAAAATTATCATATTCCATGACTGGAAAGAGAGATTAGTGCCTGCTGGGGAGTGGAGCCTCTCGATCTAGAGGGAAGACCAAGCTACATTTTTTTCCTTCCATTTTTTTAATTTTTTTATTTTGTTTGGTTTAAGGGTGGATCTGCGTATCAGATGTCCCAAGCTACATTGGAATTGGGTGGCTGTCAGGCCTCATCAATAAAAATGTCCAGTGATAGACTTTAAGTGGTAAAGGAGAGATTGAGGGGCATTGAGACAGAAGGACTGGCTTTCACTCAAACCAGAAAGAGCTGGGAACATTTACAGAACTGAAGGGTGTGTCATGATAACCCTGTAATTTCATCACCGATCTCTGCGCTGGTCCGTAAATCATAACTTTAACAAAGTTTGTGCTCCGGATTTTCTCCAAAATGTTTTTTTTTTTTTTTTTTTTTTTTTTTTTTTTTATCATTTAAGCCATCATTTAAAGTGAATATGACGTTTTGTGAAAACAAACCTCACCTTTTTTTTTTTTATCATCATCAATTGTAAGCAGAGAAGCACAGCAATAATCTGAGGATGAGAGCCTTTCACTTTGGGCTCTGAGGCTCCACAGAGGCAGCAATGAGGTGTGCGCCACAATGAGTCTGCTCTGTATACAATCACAGGGGCCATCCGGTCTTGTGGCCCAAGAGGCCGTCTCCACACTGTGTGTGCAGCCCCTGGCGGTCTAATTAGAACCACATGGGGGAACCTGATAGTGGTATTTCATGACCAGAGAAGTTAACCTGGGCAGTCTCACACTTGTGAGATAGAAGGTCAATGCTTGCCCTGACCTTCAGCATACACACTAAAATACAACTATCTGGTGGTGCTATGCTGCGGGCAAGTTTGAAACCACCCATAAATAAAGGTCTTGCTCAAAAAGAGCTAAACCTTCAGTTATGTGTCGTAATCATTTGTCGTAATCATTTGAAGACATGGGCTGCTTTTTACCTTATTACTTGTGTTTACTCAGTCTTGCATGTTGAGGAGATTGAAAAGTGAAGCAAAAAGGAGGAAATGAGGAAATTAAAAGCCTATTTCCAGCAGATTAATATTACCTGCTGTTGATTCTTTGGGATTAATTACCAGCAGGTGAACAGCAGATGCAAGTCATTTCTTAAGTAGATAAGTTGAACTTTACTCATTTTTGTAAAACTATTTTCATGGAACATCTTGATCTCATATTTGCTGATAATAATAATAGTTCATGTTTTTATGGAGGTCTTTGATGACTTTTTCTGCTTCCTTTTTATTTTCTGTCATCTTGTTGTACCTGAACATGCATGTGCCTGAAACAAAGAAAAATAAAGGACAAAAAAAGTGTCCATCGCTAAGAAACATTCCCTTAGCAGATGAACGGAACCTGAGATCATGTCTTTTGAACATACGGGGGAAGAAATCCAGTAAAAACTGTACATATGCCCTGAGACATGAATTATGTTTTAGTTTTCAGCAAATAACCCATGTTGTTAGAACTAAAATACTATCTTTGTCTATTAAAATGCGTTATCTTTGCATTGTTTAATACATTTAATGTTATTTGCACAGATTTCTACTTATAAGGTGCCCAAACATTCACTCTTAGCTTTAGGAATCTTCTTACTTAAATGTTTCAAAGGAAGGGTTAAAAAACATATTCCCCTGAAAACGGTGAGGGGCAAGACTTAAAAGGAAGGAATATCCGGGCAATGGCAACAGAAACCACTTTTAAGATTAGTAGGATGTCACACTCCCTGGAAGCAAAAGCCAAAGAAATCAGGGATGAGCAAAGACTTGCCGAGCGATCACATTTATTCCTTCTCTCTCTCTCGCTGCCTCTCGCTCTCTCTGTCCATATCTCTCTTTCTCCCATCCTGTAGCCTTTAACAGGTTTTTGTGGCTCCGGTGCCCTGCAGAGTGGCTGACCAGTAGGTCTAAGCAGCATTTACTGGAGGGCCAGTTAGAACGTGGACAACACCAAACACACTAATGGGAAAGAGACAAAGCCACAGGCCACAGACATCCAGTAAACAGCAGACCACAGTCCGCAAGATGTGTGCTCTTTCCTCCAGCTGACCATGCAGGTACACCAGGCAGAACTGCGACTTCCTAAACTCTTTTGTGTGTTTTACCACTGGCTATGTGGCTGGAGAAACCTGAGCAACGTCCAACATTTGGCTGCACCGACAAGCAAAACGCCTTCTACCTGCATCATTAGCCCGATGGCTCTGTTGCACCTCCAAGGATATTTAGCCGTTGGATCGGCTAATAGGAAAAATAAATCTCTCTCTGCCTCTCCGTCCATCTAATGTGCTCTGCAGCCATGTGCTTCCAGTTAAGCTGTCGCTCAGCGCAGAGCAGAGGTTAAGTGAAACTACCTGCTCCTCTGTGTCTGGCGATTATTTGCTTTTGTCCGCGGCGCTGCCAGATCATAAAACACTTGTGTCCACTTTTCTCCTGCCCTGCAGTCCCTGGGGTTCATTACCGTTACGCCTGAACGTGTGGCAGTACAAGCCGGCCTTTTTTTAATATCACGCTGGAGCTTTCTCTAACAGCACGCAGCGCGGGCCAGTCTTTCATCAGCAAGCTGTTATACATTTAGAGCCCTCCCCTTCGTTTTCACTACACTGATGATCTTTGTTCTTGATGTGATGCAATAAATAATGAAAAATGAGGTTTCTGCAGGCAAATAGGAAGAGATATGAAAGTGGACTGGAGCACTGGATCTGGTTTCCTGTCTGAATGGCTGTTAATTAATGAACCAGACGAGGGCTATAATTCTTTATTGGCCCGAGACTGTCAGAGTGCCAGGCAGTTCAGCGATCACAGTCGTCCACATGCAGCCTGCCTCGTGCTTTTATTGTTTCTGTACTTCTCGTTTCTCCGGCCTGAAAGAGCTTGAACTATTCATCATCAAGGAAAATCAAGATAATCCCCCTCTCCTTTCCCCGGCACACTTCCAGATTTAAAAAGATAAGTAATCTGAAGCGGTAATGAGTGAACAGAGATCAAGCCCTTTTCTGCCCCTCCTCTGAATGAAAAGCTGGCCGGCTCAAAAGGAATCTCAAAAGAAGCCACAGGTGATTTGTCTCCGTCTGTCTGTTTGACTTCATTTGCAGTATTTAGATCAAAAAGAGCTCAGATGAGCCGTGTGTGGTTGGACTCCGGCACAGTCATTAACTCGGCTACAGATCTCTCTGCCACACTGGCAAGCTACAACTGAACGCTGTAAAGTTCTGCTCTCTTTAGCAGACGCTAGTCATGCAGAATCACTGGTGCCTTCCATAGACAGTAATTAAAGTAAACGAATGACATAAGATACCAGGAAACTGAAACAGTTTGCTGAAGAACAGAAATGTCCGAGTCGATGCATTTAACTCTCAAAAAGGCGGCAGGAGCTTTAAAAATGGCACAAGATATAAAGTTACATTGACTGTATGCTGATGCATGGCTCCCTCTTTTAAATACCGTCACCATTTCATGAATGGAGTCTAAATGCACGGCATGAAATATCTGAGTACAAATGGTGGTGTTTGGTCTTTCTGCATGGTGTTTGCATGTCCCCCCCCACCCCCATGCTTGTGTAGGTTTTCTCTGGGTACTCCATCTTCCTCCCACGGTCAAATAAACATGACAGTTTTAATTTGTCCTTCTAATTTTTAAGTGTGTTTGTGTGATGCTCTGTAGTGTACCCTACCTTTCGCCTGATGATGGCTGGAGAAACACACCAGCCTCTCTGTGGCCCTGCAAGGATAAGTATTGACAGTGCATGGATGTATTATTTGCCTTCAATTTCATATTTGTAAAATAAAAATAAAAAAACACTGACATTTCTGATTCAAAATATGTTAGGGAGTATCAACTCTTTTGCACTGTGTATTTGCCGGAAATAAGCTTGCAACATTAACTACATACCCATTTTGGAGTTGAAAGTCCATCCATATTTAGAGTTTGGTTATGCTCATAAAGCATCATTACAGAATGTCACCTATCTCTTTATGCAAATTACATCCTTGTTTTTGTTTTTTTTGACTTGCTGACCCTGTTTTGTACACTCAGCTTTGCTCTTTGCGGCCATGTTTCTTATTTTATTTGTGAACTTTTTCTTCTCAGTTGTCCTCTTGTCTCCAGGCGTGGGCGTAAAAGGGACCGCATTCCCAGCGGAGACAGTTAAGTCCCTCACAAGGGGAAGCAATCAGACCCAAACCTCCAAATGATGAGTGTCATCCTCTTCCCTCCTCATCCGACCAGAGGCTGTGACTGGCGGTTGGGTTGTCCCGTCCTCACCACCACACTCTGGGCTAGGGTTCTCTTTGCTTAACCCACATGTCTGAACTTGAATTACTGCAATATTGAGACGCTAGGAGGACAACAATGGCATCTGCCCCTGCACTTAGTCACATAGGGAGTTTGTACGTAAAACTCACAACCAAACAACCTCAAACACAGAATGCAGAGTAAAAGTTTGGACAGCAGTGCAGTTTACCGACAAATTAGACACTGGTCAGTATAAATCTGGTTTATATTATAGAATGTTTTCCCAACATGTAGTGGAGAGACTGATAGTATATCAGTGGAAGAAACCATGTAGTGAATTTGTAGCTTGTGTCATTTTGTACGTAGTAAGTAATTGTCCACATTTCCATGGTGAATTTTTGAAACAGTTGTTTTGATTTTAGTGAAACATGATTGAGAATTTATTTTTTTTTTAAAACTAATCTGAATATACATGTCTTTATTTTAAATTTAAGCACTGATATTCCTGCCACCTAAAGCGCTAAAAGACCAGATTTCACTGCCAGGGCACCACCGCACAAAATATTGGGTATTTTGGGCCAAAAAATACTATTCTGACACTTGCTTAACACGTGAATTTCATCCCAAAACATTGTAGTTTCTAGAGAGGACTTTGTTTAGAACTATACTATATCACAAAAAAAGCCACTGTCCCACACTTTGCTGTTTGATCCGAGGCCTGCGTTCATTCAGTCGCCTTTTCTGAGCACGCTTTCATTCCCTCCCACCTGGCATTAGACGAAAGGCTGTGCCACTAAACACAAGGCAGAGTGGGCTGGACACAGTGGGCACCTTGCCACAGTCTCTTGTCGCCCGTTCTGTGTATTT